ACATATATATATATATATATATATATATATATATATATATATTTGTTTCTATTTACAATGCTCAAATTCAACTTTATTTAAGAAAATCAAGTTTAACTATACTCAAACCAATGATTCATTAGTATTTTCGAATTTGTTTATAAAGGCTGGTAACATTAATTTATAAGCATTAATGCTTTGAATTATTCAACAATTCTCCAATAATATTATGCATGGTACTTAATCAGCCTATTGTAGGATTATTATAATAGACTAAACAACAAAAGATTTCCTCATTTTTTCGTCCTCAAACATATCATTGTTGAGATTCAATTGGTTATGAACAAATAGCCAAAGAGGAATGATAATCATAAGCTTATATACATATTATATTGTTGTAAAGCTTTTAAGAAAATATGAACTATATATGTTCTTGGCACTAAATCCATTTGATTTTGATGTTTATATGAAACTTATATATCAGGAATACAACTTGATTTATAGGTGGAAAAAGAGAAAAGCTAGAAAGAAGACAAGATGGAGTTTTTGAAGCTTTTCATTGTGGCATTAATGCCAGTTTTGAAGGTATTGTTGATTACTCTTGTGGGGACAATTCTTGCCATTAATCGCTTTAACATACTCGGGGAAACTGCCAGAAAAAACTTGAATACTGTAAGTTTCACATTTTCTTTCTTTATTTTATATCAAATATTATATATTTAAGACAAAATTGAATACATTGCTGTAGTCACCATTAATATTATTCTCTTATTAAAATTAGAATTTATCAACAAGTTTTTGACCGATCAAGTGATTTTGACCTTAAATTTTTTAAGTAAGATTTCAAGTTTAAATATTGTGTATACGAATAAAACATAGTATAAAAAGAAATTTTCAATAAAAATATTTTGTCAAATTTTTTTGACATAGATTAATTATCAGTAAAATCAATGAAAACTTTATTACAATAATATCATAAAAAAAAATAGAATTTTACTGTAAAAATACATATTGAATTTAACGAAATCCTTATATTAAGATGAATTTCAATTTTAATCGGATAATTACACCGATAATATTAATTTATGATATTGCTAGTAAGTTTTATCCATTTATATGTTAAAAGTTACAATTTATTATTGTTAGCTCGTCAATTTTTTTAAAGATAAAAAATATTACTGATATAATAAAGTTCGAACTTAAGTTTCTATGCTTATTCTCTTCTAATCCTTTCCATCCATTGCTCCTTGTTACCAGTCAATATTGCTCCTTGTTCAATATTTTCTTTTATAAAAAAATATTTATATAGTTTTTACGATGTTGTATTCCTTAAAAATTTCAATTAATGAAATTCGATATTGTTCTCATGGAGAACCTTTTGGAAAGTGATGATGTTTCATGTTACAAGTTTTATTTATTTATGCAAGATTTTGTGGCTTTTGTAAAACAACGGACATTAATTGCTGTTTGGCACATCACCATTTAACTGAATAATTTGAATTGAGGATCATTGCAAGAATACATTAAATATACAAATGATAAAATAAATAACTAAAAAATGAACAAAATGGGGGCAAAATAAAAAAGAATTAACGTGAAGCACAGGAAAAAAAAAAAAAAAAAAACTTAGAAAAAAGATGACAGGCCCGTGTTTGATCTTTGCTTTGAACCGTGAACACACGTGAATGTGAAATTATTCGTTAAATTATTCAACAAGTTCATATAGACACATGGCTCGTAGTTTTACTTCACACATACGTCATTTTAATTTATATTTTTTTTAAGTATTCTTATTTTAATATACCTTCCGGAACACTCGATTTAAAATCTTAATAGTGTGTTTGGATAAAAAATTTTATAAATTCAAGAAATTTTAAATTTTTAATATTTAAATTATTTTGATTTCAATTTTTATTATTTTTAAAATATTTTGTTTGAATGAGTTAATTTAAATATTTTAAATTTTAAATTATTAGGTTAAATATGATAATTTGATTCCATCATAGTAAAATTAATTTTAAAAATATATTTATATGTTGAGATTTTTAAATTAAATTTTATAAAAAAAATATTAATTTATTTTTAAATATTTAATAATTTTCAAAATTAATATTAGATAATATTTAATAATTTTAAAAATTAATATAAGATAATATTTAATAATTTTAAAAATATTTTTAAATATTCAATAATTAAAAGAATGAAGAGATAAGATAAACTATATAAGTGAAATAAGAAAAACAAATATAAAAAATTTCAAATTCTTTCATTTTTCAAAAAATTTGCAATTCTACTATTTTAAAGAATTAATGCTTAAATTTTAATTTTTTATAAATTCTTCATCCAAACAAAATATTTTACTTCAAAAAAATTTAAAATTCTTCAAATAAATGAATTACCTTATATAAATTTAAAATAATTTTGAAATATTCATTCTAAAATATTAAAATATTCTATTCCAAAATATTAAAATGTTAAAATGTGTTGCAGAACACTCATTCTAAAACATTAAAATTGTGTTTTAAAATACCTAATCTAAAATATAAAATATATATTCTAAAAGAACCGACTCAAAAGATATTAAAATAGTAATAAAATGGGTTCAAGTTATGCCGATTGTCTCTTTGACCTCCCAAAAGGTCGGGTTGGATATCTTAACTCATTTGGTCTGTTACACCAAATAGCCGATTGAGACAGATTGTTCTCTTGATGTACCTATTTTTTATTTTATTTTTAATGATAAATTTAATTAAGTCACATTATATTTATTATGATTAATTTATTATTTGTTGTATAGTAAATAAGTTAATATATTTGATTTATTTTATTATATATAATTTAAGATTTTTTATATATGGTAAATATGTTGAAAGAATTATTATTATTCTTATATATTTATTTTATTATTTAGAAAATTTGATATTTATTGTGTTGCAAATCAAATTTATTGTAATTTGAGATTTATTTTATTATTTAGGTGTAATAATTTATATCAGTCTTTTAGATATTAAGAAATAATTAAATATACTAAAATAAGTACCAAAAATAAATATATAACTTTTTCTTTTTAGTGTGTTAGCTTGCTAGCCGGCCAACCCACCTTTAAGTAGGACAGTTTAAAATATCTAGTTTGTTTTCATTTGACAAGCTTATCTAACCCAACCCATTTTTGATGGGTTGCAACAGAGCACATCTAAATATGTGAAATGACCTGTTTTGCCTAAGGATGGCAATGAGGCCCCATAGCCGCCCCCGCCCCGCTGAATGAAAATTGGCCCTATACCCACCCTATATCCGTGCGGGTATTCATTAAGCGGGTATCCATGAATTTCTTGAATACCCACGGATATCCACGGATATCCATAGATATTTATAAAATTTTTAAGAAATTAAAAAAATTATATTACAAATAACTTTTTTATATTTTAATGTCATTGAAATATTAAAAATAAAAATTCAGTGTTAATTTTGAACTTTTATTTAACATTACTTTTGTTGAAATAATAATAAAAATTCAAGATAATCAATAACTTAAAATACATCAATCTCACAAGTAAGTTAAAGTCTCATCACAAAGCTACAATAATTCAATCTCATAATTCCAAATGAAAGTAAATAACTTAAAATACATAAATCTTATTGGTCCAATCAAAGCTAGAAAATTAATCAAATTACATCCAACATAATTCTATAACATGCTTAACACATGTCGGTAACTTCATCAACCTCACTTTTGTAAGAAAATAAGATGAGAGAGTGCAATTTTAGGGTTATGTGGTACAAGGATAATTAGGATATTTAAGAAATAATATTAAACGGGTACCCGCGGATATGGATATCATCATACCCGCCCCCGCCCCATTTATAAACGGGTAAAAAATTATCCGTACCCATTATCTGCGAGTACCCAATTAGCCTATCCATTTATTATCCGTAGCGGGTTTTATCCACAGATACCCGCGGGTGCGGGTATTTTTGCCATCCTAAAATATATAAAATATAAACTTAAATATATTTTTAATTTCTTAAATTTAAAATTATTATTTTTAGTTCCTATAATTTTTAAAAATCTTGTTTTAGTCCCTCAATTTACCAATGACATATATGAAAGTGATATATTGAGACAATTACACAGTATCAATTATGTTTAATGTGATATTTTCACTAATAAAAACATCAATAGATAAATTTTATACAATATTATTTGACAAATTACCTAAAAAAATTGAATATAAGGAAAAAAAATAAGATTTTTTGAAATTATAAGAATTAAAAAACTAATTTTAAATTTGAGAGACTAAAAATAAATTATTATTAGAGAAATGGTTTTGATCCATTTTATTTTTATTTTACTTATTATTATTATTAGAGAACTTAGTTTGTTTGGAATTTGTTTTCTCAACTACTTTTTTTTCTTCAACATGAATCAAATATGATATTTTACTTAAAGAACTTCGGTTCAGTTTCACTTTGATCAACATAATATTGGTCAGGTTTTGGATCAAGGAGCTAGTTTCACATGCCAACAAAGTTCAAGTTTCAAAAGCTACTCTATTTTGCTTCTAAAGGACTTACTGATATGACTTTTTTCTTAATATATATAGTTGGTATATATTGTCTTCTCTCCAACTCTAGTTTGTAGCAGCCTAGCTGAAACAATAACTTTAAGGAATGTCGTTAAACTGTAAGTTTGTTTCTTACTAGTTCATTTTCTTATATCAAACAAATTCACCATATATATATGCAGTTGAATTAGCAAAGATGTGACAAATTTTGCAGGTGGTTCATGCCCGTGAATATTCTTATCACGTTTCTCATTGGGACAGTTCTTGGATTGTTAGTCGTTAAACTAACTAGAGTTCCTCCTAACCTTCAAGGCCTGGTGTTGGGTTGTTGTGCAGCAGGTAACACCACTTGTATATTAGAAACTCATATCAATACCATACTATATATCATAAACATTTCAGAGCATAATTTTCATACAGTATTTAATTGTCAACCAATTAGAAACTGTCGTGTGCCGAGAATTTTTATATACATATGTTTCGATCGATAAAATATTATACATTTTGAACTTAAGTATCATGATTTTAGTTTTCATCATCATCTAAAAATAGTCTCTTAACAATGGGGGACATCTTGTACTTACTTTATAAACTCGTGTTTATACAATGTGAGACTTTAATTATATTTTAATAATTTTTTTCTTAATTAAAGAATCATAATTTGATTCCCTTATAGTGGGAACTAGTTTACAATGGTAATTTATAGAGCTCAATCATGTTCTAACTACTTGTAGCATCACTTCATCGTTAATTCATTTTAGCAAAACACACTTCTCGACCCTCCATATTATCAGAAATACTTTTCGTACATAGACTCACTATTAGAAAGGCTTTAAATACAAGAGATCTTATGCTTGAATTTACCTACCAACTCTACTATATACTTGTCTAGCTAACTACTATCGACTATGATATCACTTGTTATATATTAAGAGTTTTCACACACATGTTTTCACATTGATAAAATATATATTGTTTACTTTGAACATAAATTCTCATGATTTTATTTTTGATTATTACTCATAAGACCACTTAATAATGGAGACAATGTGAGTTTTGTAAACCCATGTTTATATAATGTAGGACTTTAATTGTATCCCAACAAAATAATTTTCAAAAATATTATTTTTAAAACAATTATAAAAGATTTAATTATTGCTTTAATCCCAATAATTTTATAAGTTTTATCTTATAATCTCTCTAATTAAAAATATTTCATTGTAGTTCTTATACTCCCTCTATTTTTATAGACGTTTTAACACTATGTTTTTGTTCAATTTTCATTATCATTTTTCTAAAATCAATGACTTATTAATTTATTTTTTCATTTTTATCCTTGATAATTAATGTGTATTTACTGAATAATGTGTTTATTCATTTTCAATGTACCTATTTCTTTTCTAATCATCAAAAGAGTATAATAGGAAAGTAAGTAATAAATATTTTTAAAAACTGGAATATCAATCATTTTCTTAATTCTTGTATATAAACCGTAAACGTCAAACAAAAAAAAACAGAGGACGTACAATTTTTTTTTTCTTTTTAATCTTACAATTACATAAACTTCTTTTTAGTCTTTGTACAAATAGATGATAAAAACTAAAAAGAAGCAGAAAAAATAGTATGTATATATATATAAACTAAAATAAATTTTTTTTAATTACATGGAGTAAAAAATAAAATTTATAAAACTATATAAACTATATATAAATAAAAAAAGAAGTAATTACACCTTATAAAAATCAATTATACCATGCATGATAATTATCTACGATCAAATAACAAACTGTCATTGAATTCTAATTAAATTCAACATTTAATATCAATGATCAATAATGATTTGGGTTTTGAATGTTTGATGTCTACAGGAAATCTGGGAAATTTACCTATAATTATAGTTCCAGCTGTCTGTAAACAAAGTGGCAGTCCTTTTGGAGATGTGAATGTTTGCTACAAAAATGCACTAGCATATGCTTCTCTATCAATGGCAGTATGATACTATAACTTCACTCATTTGAAAATTTTAAGGACCCCTTCACCAATAATTACAAAAATAAAATGCTACTCCATCCTTTACATAATAAGTATCTTACAAGAAGAAAAATTAGTTTTAAAATAAATATCATTTTATTTTTTAATATAGTATTAGTTATTTATTTTTATTTATATATATACTTTTAATGATATTCTTTATATCAATAAAAAATTATTATTATATTATATCTTTTTTAATGAATAAGATTAATAACAATGTTAATTTTATAAAATTATTATTATCTTTTAATTATTTATTAACTTTTTTAGTCTATGTCTCGGACGGCACTTAATATGGGATAAGGGTACATCTCTACTTTTCTTTCTTTTTTCAAATATTTATATAGGGAACAAGAATACAACAAAAATGTGAGAACAAAAATGTCATCTTTTTATTGTTTTTAAATAAATATTTTTTCACTATGCTTCTTGGTTTTTCAGCTAGGTTCCGTTTACATTTGGTCTTATGCATACAACCTTGTTCGATTATATTCACCAAAGATTTCCAAAGAAATCAAAGTTGATGATGGCTCCATGGTAAATCTAGTGTTAGCAACAAAAACTGATCCAGAAAACCCTTCAACATGTTCCACAGGATTACCTGTTGTTACTGCTGATGATAGATCACAACCTGAAAATCATGTGAAGCAATTTGAAATTCAATGTACAATGCGTGATGGACAAGTAGAAGAGGTATATATAGAGAGCCCGTTTGAATATAAATTTAAAAGAATTTAAAAAAAATTTGTTTTTACTAAAATAAAGAATTTCTTTTGATAAAAATTTTTAAAATATTTTTAAATTTGCATTTAAACAGACACACATTAACGTTTGTTCCAATATAACCAGATTATATTAACTTTTGTTTATGTTTTACTTTTTTGTGGACTACGAAGCACTTTTCATGTTAAGATGTGAATAATATTTGATAGAAATTATGTTCATACATTTAAAGACTTTTTACAGGTACCAAAAAAGAAAACGATTGTGAAACAGTTGACAATATTAGTCGACAAAATCAACCTGAAGGTACTATTCACACCCTCCACGATTGGAGCGGTAAGTAAAAAGTTATTTTTATTTATTTATTTGGTATTATTTTCGTTCAATTCACTACACATATAAGGAATAATGTTTAAAATGAGAAGTGTTAGTTAGGAAGCGAGGACAAAACATATATATATCCTTTGGAAATTATACTTAATTTGAATTAAAATTTTATCTCCATGCATGTTAACCGTTAATTTAGGTCTTTATTATATCAAAATAAAACTTTAATTTTAATGAAAAAAATTGCATGTTATAAATTTTGCCCTAAAGTAAAAGCATGTCAAAACTTAGATTAGAAATAACCGTCATATTTTACATAAAGATAATGCTTGTTTAAATAATTTTTTTTATAAGTACTTTTAGAAGAGGAAAATAGGAAGAAAAAAAATTGAAAAAAACTTCTTTATAAATTAAAATTAGTTTATATATAAAAGTTAAAAATAAAATTTTAAAAATGTTAATAAAAGAAAAGTTCTACAAATTTTTAACTTAGACATAAACTAATTTTAGCATATGAAAAAAATTATTTTATTTTTTTCCTCTTATTTTTCTCATACGGATAAATTTACTTATTGTAAATTACGATGAAACCGTATTAATTAGCTATTCTTAACAAAGATGGTTACTTTTCCCTTCTTTGCATGCAGATTGTTGGTTTAGTGATCGGAATAGTTCCTCAATTTCGAAAACTATTAATTGGGGATAGTGCACCTCTTCGTGTGATTCTGGAGTCTGTAGTCATGTTGGGGTAAGTGTCTCATGCACAGCATTTGGTTATTAAGATTAGTTTAGATAAAGTTTTTTATAAACATTTTTTTATAATAAAAAGTTACAATAAACTATTAAGATCTTGTAAAAGTTAATTGGAGAAAACTCCTATAAATTCATTTGTACATAAATTAATTTTAATTTATAGAGAATTTTATTTCATTTTTTTCTAAAATTATCATTGGAAAAGCTTATCTAAACACTTCTCAAGGAAAATTAAAAAGTGAAGGTACTTTATATGATTGTACATTTTTATTTTCCTTTATTTTCAGGTATGCTTCCATTCCAGCAATGACTTTGCTGGTTGGAGCAAATCTTATTAAAGGTAAATCAACAAAATGAATTTCTGAATTTGGTTAGTGGATGTGTTTGAAAAAATTGTGGTGATGACAAAATTGGATGCATTGTTCAGGTTTGAATGCACTAGGAAAGCAACTTCCACTTGTTATTGGAGTTATTGTGGTTAAATGTATTGTCTTGCCAGCATTAGGTGTAGGCATAGTGAAAGCTGCTATTCGTTTGGGGTTGATCCACCGCGATCCATTATATGAGTTTCTTTTGCTGCTTCAGTTCGCCCTTCCTCCTGCCGTGACCATGAGTAAGTTGCTTATGAAACTTAATTAGATCAGCATTTGTGGATAAAAAAATGATCACATTATACAAATGATTTTCTTAGTTTTCTTAGTCTCATGATTTTCTTATGGGAGTAGGGATGACAACAGGACAGGAGGGATACTGATTTCAGTATCCTTGTCTTCGTCTCTGATCCCGTACCTTATATTCATCTCTATTCTTATATCTGTTGGGTATAAAATTTGTATTCTCATTCTTGTTTCTATTGGATCTCAGATTAGATTAGCATTTGTGGATAAAAAAAATGATCACATTATACAAATGAATTTCTTAGTTTACTTAGTCTCATGATTTTTCTATGGGAGTAGGGATGACAACAAGACAGGACGGATACTGGTTTCAATATCCTCATCTTCATCCTTGATCTCATACCTTATTTCCATTTTTGTCCTTATATTTATTGGGTATAGAATTTTCATTCTCATTTTTAATTGTTTTTGTTGGATATAAGATATATTTGTGTCCGTCCCGTAATCCACTCAAAAATTAATTAAAATTTCTTTTTTTGAAAAAAAAATATATAAAAAATAAATTTTTAACATAAGTATCAGTTATAAAATTATATTAATTGAATTTTATTTGAAATAAATTTTAAATAGAGTAATATTTACGTAAATGGCATGTATATTCCTAAATAAAATAAGTTTATAGAAATTTAAAGCAAATATAAGTATAGGGCGGGTGCATATAAACCTATTCTCATCTCCGTATTTGATTTAATAAATTAAATATTACTCGTATCCAGTACTTATACTCAGTCAAATCGAATATTTTGTTAAAATCAAGACAAATTTGGATATTACCCATGCAACGAATTTGGACACACGAATATAGGTTTCACATGATACAAATGTGATGAAAAATAGCATAAGCTCAAATACTTTTATTATACATCTTTGTGTGTTTATATATGTATTAAGAAATGTTTGCAATACAATTTTTAACACCTTTTTTTATCAATACTTTCTCAATTATTAATTGAAAATCACAATTATTTGGTGAGTCTTATCCTTAGATCAAGAAAAACTTGTTAAATGAGATATAAACTCACAAACGTCATGATTCCTAATAAATTTCAGCCTTTAATATAAAGAGTATTAGAGAGTGTTCCTAACATTCCTATATAAAAAAAATATATCTAGTGAAAGCATGATAGATTTGAGAAGTAAATCTTAGCCATAAATCATATACAGGTCAACAATGATATTTTAATTTTAATTATTTATTTCAATTATATAGTCGATATTCTCTACTCTAACTTTCTCATTTATGTCATCTAATACGTTTCATATATGTGTATTATTGAGTGGCATCATATATATGAAGAGACTTTGTTGTCTTTATTATTGTAAAACATATGCATTCTTTGACATTTAGTTCTTTTGTATTTTCTCAAAGTGACATTATTTATATAATAAATTGAACAATCAAATTGTTTACTAATGATAATGTATTTTTTTTATCTGTATTATTAATAACATTAAATAAATTATATATTTTCACATTGAATAGAATGATATATAAATAATTGACTAAATTACATTGATATCATATGAGATTTGATGAGATTGTAGATAAATTTATTATTCTTTTTTACTCCTACTCCGATTTCCCTTAATTGTTTGTAAAAAAAAAATAACATTAAAACCTCTAAAAAATTATATTAATTCCCTATAATTGTTTAGAAAAACATTACACCAAGTCTTTGTATAAGGAATGTTGTTGTAAAAGTAAAAAAAAAATAAAAAAAAAATAAAAGAAGAAGAAGAAGGAATTATGTGTAATTTTAGAAAATCTTAGTAATTTACTCATCAATCCCACTTTATTATCACGTCTTTCATTTATCTATTTCTTAATTTATATAAATACCTACCCATTGATAGTATGCAAAAATATAACATCACATGAACATTTTTATTTATTTATATACAATATATATTATTACTAAGATGTTTGTAATTTACAATATGAATTATAATTAACTCTAATTTGAAGAAGAACTGTCTTGTTCTATCATACATATTTTTTGCAAATACATGAATATACATGAGTGATATCTCAAAATTTTTCATAACAATCTCTTATAAGAATCTTTCTAGAAATATGTTCTAAAAATCTCATAGAATCTCTCTAGAAATCTGTATTGGAAATTTGTTTGATACAGAAATTGATTATGTACAAAATATGCTAGATAATCTCATTAGGCTCCCTCATGTTGGAGCATACAAATTGCAAATGCTCAACTTGTGCAACAAGGAAGTAAATTAAGTAGGACCAAGTGCTTTGGTATATCAACCAATTGCACAATGGTAAAGACATAAATAGATCCAATTTTTCCATTTAGAATCTCAATAAGAACAAAATGACACTCAAATTTGATATTTTTGGTATGTTCATGAAAAATTGGGTTTTTGACAATGTGGAGAGCAACTTTGCTATCACAATGAAGATGGATAGGTTGAGAATGTGAGATACCAAGGTCGAAAAGAATTTGCTTTAACCATTTTAGTTTGCAAATAGTGGAACGATATTTAGCCTTAGCAAATGAGAGTGAAACTGTTGGTTGCTTTTCTTTGTTTTCCACAAATAAAAATAAAAATAGGAGAGTTACCCAAATGAATAAGTCATCCTATGAGAGACTTGTTAGTAAGGGGGCAACTTCCCCAATCTAAATCACATCATGCAATCAATTGCAAATCATAGTTTCTGCATAAGAGCACACATTGCCTTGGATTTCCTTTTAAGTAGTGAACTACTTACAACACAACTTCCCAATGCTCTTGCCTAAGTTATTGCATGAACTAAGACAATATGTGGACACAATAAGACAATTCTAGTTGAGTTAAAACAAGGTAAATGAGATGTCCCACCAATAGTTTGTATTGATTAGGGTGAGATAATTTTGATCCCTCAACAAGACCCAAATGATAGTTCTACTCCATAGGAGTACTTGACAATTTTTCTCCTAAAAGTCTTGTTTCTCCTATGGTATCCAAAGCATACTTTTGTTGACAGAGAAAAATTTCACTAGAAGAGCAAATCATTTCAACACCTAAGAAATATTTGAGTTTTCCTAAGTCTTTCATATGGAAGGAAAAATGCAAATAATCCTTGAAGAGCTTAATAATTGGATGATCATTTCCAAAAATGATAAGGCTAGCCACATAAACTCAAAACTACAAGGAACAAGTCTTGTTTCTACAAAAAATTATAATAGTAGTTAGAAAATGGTTGTTTGAACTCGTACTCCTTTAATGTTTGAACCTAAGAGCTTGCTTAAGCCTATAGAGAGACCTTTTGAGTTGACAAACCATCCCAAAGTCGTAACAATGAAGTCAGGTGGTGGCTTCATATACCACCTTCAAGTTCCCTAGGCAAGAATGCATTGGAACATCCATCTAATGTAATTCTTAGTCCTTTGCAATCACTACAACCAACATTGTATGCTTATTCACCATTTTGAAAATTGGAGCAAATGTCTCGGTGTAATCAATCACTTCCACATGATGATTGCCAAGAATAACTAATCTTGCTTTAAACCTTTCTCTATTCCCATCAAATTTATGCTTTATTTTGTAGACCCAATTAATCCAAGTACTTTCTTCTTAGGGGATAAGTGTGACAATGCCCAAGTTCTATTATTTTCAAAAGCTCGTATCTCATCTGCCATGGTTTCCCTCCACCTACTAGAAAAAATGCTTATTTTTCTTGTGAAATAGAGGTAAGAAAACATGATGTACTAGAGAAAAAATTGTTACAATTCACATACTATGTATGGGATAAAGATCACTTGAGCATACTCTTGATGAGGAAATAGAAAACACATGTTGAAGGGGTGTTATACGCTCCCCATAAATCACAATGGATCAATTGAAATGCACAACTAACTTTATGTTCTTAAAGGAAATTTCTCCCTAGTTTTCTTTGCTCTAAATCAGATATGACATGCTTTATTTACTACTGTATCATTTTTATTTCTTATTTTCAAGAATTAACTGAGTAATATTCATCAATGGACTATGGGTGTCCCATCTATTTGTGCCACAAATCCACCAAACTCTTTCCATGAATTTTATAAGTCATCGCTCTTTGAAACCCTCGAAAAAAGAATGGAACCCATCCATGTGCTCATCCACACCAATCAACATTCTTGAAGTGTGATCTTGCATAACACACAAATTATTAGTGTATTGAACTCTACGATCCAATTCACCAATTAATTGAGAAACTAATATCAAATTGCATTGCAAATTAGGATTATATATAAAGAATGTTACTAAGTTCAAGCCTCCAACCAACACAACTCCTTCTTTTATTGCAACAGTGTGTTGCTAATCAAGGGGTCCCATTGGACAACTTTGAATATTATGCAAATCATGCATAATGTTTAGGTTCCCTGTCAAGTGATTTGAAGCTCCAGTATCAATAATATATCCATGCAATGATGTTACTCTTGCTCATCATCTTCTCATTGCAACTTCTTTGTTAACCTTTCAACAGATCTATTAGCGTTTGCCAATGCTCAATAGTTAGTTTAGCCAATCCAAAATCACTTCCTCATGAGTGGATCATCTCAAAGCCTACTCTATCATTTTGGACACTCATTCTTAAAGCCTTAACCTGACTCTTATACCATAAAGATCTCAGAAAATCTCTCTAGAAATCTATACTATATATATATATATCCATGTAAAATGTTCATTTTTTTGTTGATTTAAAAATATGAACCATTTTTGCTTTACACTATAGTTAGAAATATACTTAATTTTATGGATGTGCCAGGTACGATCACTCAATTATTTGGAGCTGGTGAAGGCGAATGCTCAATTATCATGTTTGCAACTTATTCCTTTGCTGCTGTTTCAGTAACACTTTGGTCCACATTTTATATGTGGCTTGTATTATAATTATTCGAAAGTGAAAGATTTCTTGATGCTTCACAAATGCTTAGAAAATGCATTTTATAATTAGTAATATTTGAAACTATAGTTTTTACTAAGGATCGGTAAATCAAGCATATTTATTGTACTTCGCTTGTAACTTTATACTTTAGATTGTAGCCTCAAGAAAATGGAAAATGGGAAAAAGAAATCAAAATAAAAATCATTATGAACTTGTTTGCATACAATTTAAGAAGTATTTTTGAGAATTTATCTACTAAAAAATATTCTTTATTTTTAATAGAAAAACTTTAAAAAGTATTTATAACTTATATTCAAACAAACCCTAAACAAGGTTAACCTAGTGATAGAGTTAGAATAATATGCATAAAAACTTAAGTTTGATCCTTGTTGTTGTCATTATAATTCTTACCAATATAAAAAATTACTATTTTAAGCTTTAAACAATTCACATTTATTTACAAAAACACCTATATAAATATTTAGTATCTTAAATAAATGTTATTAATTTTCTAAACAAATTTAAAAAAATCATACACATGTAGTTATCATTATACAACCCTAAATGCTTAGTTCAAGAGTTGTAAAAATAATAAGCACTCTTACCGACAACATTTTCATGTATCATTGGCTTTTGCTCGATACACAACCACTTCTTCAATTTCGGGTTTGGTTGGGGTGATATATATGTATTTACAGTGATAGTGAATATTAACATTTAAATAACCTATTAGATAATAAATATGTTTTCAGTTGATGAATTTTTGTGGATTTTTATTTTATTTTTATTTATTTTTATTGATTTTTGTTTTTAGTTACTGAAATTTTTCTCTCATTAACATTTTAGTTTCTGATATCAAATTTTTTCTTTCATGAACGAGAATTTTAAATATTAAAAACAAATATAATTTATTCAAAAATTAATATTGAAATTGACAAAAGTTTAAAAACTAAAAACATATTTAATACACTAATTTATTACCTCTTAAAATTCCAAAAAAACAAAAACACTTCACTTAAAAATTGCTAAGATATGAATATAAATAGTCATCAAAAACACCCAATTTTATCTTCCTTTTGTTATTTTTTTATCATTTATTTATTTGTTATCATTTGTTATTTTTATTTTAGTTTTTTTTTTATTTTCCCTACTTTCTACCCATAATCAAATGCATTGAGAAAATTTTAAAAAATATATTGGACGAATCCAATCCAATAATCCAGATTTCTTTTTCTTTATTTTTGTTGTTGTTGTTGTTTTTTTTTTTTATTATAGTTATTGGGCTTTCTTGAGCTCATTTTGAATAAAAGTAAACGAAATAAAATAAACATCAAAGAAGTTTCCGAGCTCAAAAATATCAGAAAAATGAAAAGAAAAAAATTATTTGGTTCAATTCTTTTATGTTTGTTCAACTTTTCATAACCATGAATGGTTTAATTTTTTCACCCAAGCCAGACTCGATTATTATTTAATCTACAAAAATAAAAATAAAAATAGATGAGTAGTTGAGTTTTGAGATTGAACAAAAAATCTCGATTCTACCTTATCGAACTCATCGTAAGTTGTGTCAAAAAATAACATTAAATTTTTAAAATGTCACAAAATTAACATGACATGACATAATTAAAAGATATAATTAGTTATCGGTATAAAAAAACTTTACATTAATAATATATAGTATATAGTATATAGGTGATTAATTCTTATATTAAATAATGGATCAAAATATCTAACAAAAAAAAAAATGGTAGGTCACCCTAACCTAACTCGTCCTTTTATACATCGCATTGAAGGTCATGCTGGTGAGGTAGAAAGTATACTCCACCTAACTCAATCCATTTTAATGAAGTGAATTGAAACCGTTCAATGAACTTTAATTAGCATCTCTACTTTGCTATCCTATTTTAATTAAAGATAGTACTTTAAAGTGTACATTTAAAAATACTTTTAGGTTAAATCAAGCTTTTAAAAATCAATAATTCAAAATAAATGAAAAGACTTTTGAAAATCAAGTTGATTGTTAGAAGGAAAAAAAATCTCATTTTAGACAAAAAAAAAAAAAAGAGATAAGATTTAACATTATATTCAGAAAACATTTTAGATTCTACATATAGTTAAGCATAATTTCATCCTAATTTTAAGAACGGCTTGAATTCATTATTATTAGTACTATGTGATTATCATTTTCAATAAAACTGCAACATGCTTTTAGTTTTCAAATTATCTATCATTTAATTTGAAAAAAGAAAACCTACTACAACACATATGACTGAGATATAGACCATGTTTAGAAAATCATTTAAACTATTTTATAATTTATTTCACTAATTTGAACGTTTGTTTGAATAAAAAATATGTTTCGTAAGTTAATAGAAACCTATTAGCTTATACCATTTTTCATATATATGTCACTTGAAGTAACATTTAATTTATAGTTTATTATTACTCCTTTTCATTTTATATTCAACAATTTAACAAATCAACATTTCCCGTTTATAAAATCTTAGCATTATTACACTATTATTTTAGTAATAATTTTCCTTCAATATTATGCTATTTCTTTTAATTACTACACTATATATTTTCACTATCTATTTTAAATTCTAATAAATTATTTTCTTTAAATAAAATTTCTAAGATTTTTTTTTTAAAAAATGGTTCTTAAAAATAAAGTTAACTGAAAAAATTAAATCATAGTTACTTAATATATATAAAGACGTCCCCTTAAATAAAATAGTTTAAAAACTAAATTTACTACAAAAATTTATATTTCAATAAGTTAGTTTAATATTTTATATTAACTTTTCAATTAATTTATTAGCTATTTTTTTTACCAAACATTATCACAATCTATTCATTTTTTTAAAAATATATTATTTTTCTAATTCTTCAACAAGTTTATTTTTTTCTATTAAAAAATATTTTATTTAATCTTCTGATTACGTTTTAAGATGTATGTTTCACCTTTAAAAGTTAAAAAATAGTTTATTGATTAAAACTACGCCCGTTATAAACTTATCTTCTTATCCCAATTCATTATTGCGTGCACGTATGAGCTTTTCTAAGTTAACCTTTTGCTTCAATAAAAAGTTGTTTAACTTGTCTATATTTAATTTAAATTTCTTTAATAAATACGTAGATGGTGATGTTACTATAAAACTAGTAATCAATGAAATTTTTCTTAGCTGTTCAAAAAAAACTATAAAACTAGTTTATCAAACACACATAATCAATTATTTCTCATCATAATAAACACTCCAATATAAATTAAATCCACAATTTTAAAAAAAAATCAACGCACAATCCTTCTTAAGTTCCTATCTTAATTAAAGTTATATATATATATAATATTCGCACTGTACTCTTTAAATGGCCTAATTAGCCTCCTTGCTTTAATATTAGTGCATGATTATGGTGCCAAATTTTTTGTTCCTAGATATTGAAGACTCGTAAAGAAGAATGGTGATGTATGACAATGACTTATGACACTTGGCACTTAAAGGGCATGCATGCATGAGTAGTGCCACGCATGCATCATGCAAAGATAGTAAAATTTAAAGTGGATTTGAGTGAGAAAAAAAGAAGCATATAAGCAAGCTAGCCAAGGCACATGCATGAGTTATGATAAAGAAGAAGAGCAAGAAGGAGGATACGACGTGATCTTTGGAGAATTTTCGACGATCAAAGATAAGGAAAGCGAGTTTATTTTATTTATTTTGCTTCTCAAATAGAGTTTGAACGTATTTTATTTTATTTTTCTTATAATTATTTTATTGATATGAAATATCCACCATGTTTGATTGGATTTAAGAATAAAAATAATAAAGATGAATTATTACAGTAGCAATATATTTTAAGTCACAAATATTTCTTAATACTTGAAAAAAAATTAATTTTTTTCTGTTACTTTCTATTTGTTTTTTATTTTTACCACTTAATTTAAAAATATTTTAGATAAAATAATTTTGGCAGGATTCTATATTTATAACCTACCCTTAAAATGTTTTATTTTCATTTTTTTCTTCTATTTTTTAGTTTTAGGTAAAGCAGGA